GTTTTCTTTTCTCACGAAAATGTTGCATTTAACTGTCCTATGCTCGGGCTGTCAAATATGCGTGTTCTTTTCTCAAATATGCGTTTTTCTTTTTTTCAGGTTCGTTTGTTTCTTTTTTAAAATGTTGTCTTCTAACCAGAAAAAAGTGCAACCTTTTCTGCCATTCTCCAACGTAAGGAAGAGAGGCCCAGCGGGTGTTTACCTATCCTTTTTGATAAGTTAGATGGACCGTTTATATAATGTTGTCGTTTAATTAGGCAACATTTACATCAAGAAAATAAAACGGTATTAGTAGAATTTTGTTCTACATATGTTATGTTTTTTGTACTCCTGAAACATGTTGTGCGAATTTAGCCCCCACATGACTAATATCAGGATTTTAGAACAATCGACTGACTTATACCATCTCCATTTTCCATATATCTAATATATAATTTTTAAACTTTCGATTGAATTTATAACATACATATATGTATGTATATCGGTCAATATAAAGTTTCACCTGCACCTGAAGGTATTTTCCCAGCTTTAGTTCTTGCAAGTTGCAAAAGTGTAAAATTTTCGGTTATACCCGAACTTATCCCTTACTTACTTATTTTTATACTCTTGCAACAGGTTGCTACAGATTATAATAGTTTTGTTCACCTAACAGTTGTTTGTATCACCTAGAACTAATCGAGATACATATAGGGTTATGTATGTATATATAAACGATCAGGAACACGATAAGAGTTTAAATCCTGGTAACTGTTTTTCCGGAACATATATGCCACCATAAGAAATTTGGTATTGTAGATGGGCGTAATGGGACCGCAAATTATGATACATACCTGTTGTTTATCGTTAAAAACTAATAGGTTTAATGTATAGGGTTTTGTTTAGAGGTATAGAACTTTAAATTGCAATAAAACAACGATGGATTATTCGATTGACATGAATTTTATTTTACCGAAAGATAATCTCTAGGCATATGATTTCTGGTAATTTTTGATGACTTTTTCCAACATTTGTGACCGTATATCGACAATAACACGGCGAATGTTGTCTTCCAAATGGTTAAGCGTTTGTGGCTTATGTGCATAGACCAATGATTTTACATAACCCCACATAAGTAGTCTAGCGGTGTTAAATCACAAGATCTTGGAGGCCAATTCAAAGGTTCAAAACGTGAAATTAGGCGGTCACCAAACGTAAATAAATCGATTGTGGCACGAGCTGTGTGACATGTTGTGCCGTCTTGTTGGAACCACAGCTCCTGGACATCATGGTTGTTCAATTCGGGAATGAAAACAGGTAGTAATCATGGCTCTATACCGATCACCATTGACTGTAACGTTCTGGCCATCATCGTTTTTAAAGAAGTACGGACCAATGATTCCACCAGCCCATAAAGCGCACCAAACAGAGGAAAACGGTCCATGGTTAATCGAATTTACTGCTCTGATGGACGATTTTGTTGACGATAAAATGAACGTAGTGCGCGATACGTATTCCGCACAGAACCATTATTTTCGAAACAAAATTGCACTTTTTGCAAGCGTTATTCAGGCGTGAGTCCATTCATGATGAATTGCCAAACAAAACTGAGAATAAATCACTTGACAGCTGTTAAATCAGTCGCCATCTTGAACAGTAATGCCATCTTAAAGTTCTTAAAGAACAACCGATATATTATATATCTCCCAAACCATACAAGCTTTATCAGCCAAATTTGCATAGGAATAATTCTATCGGCACCTCTTACGACAGTGTGAAAATAGGTCAAATCGGATTATAACCCCCCCACCCCGTGGAACGGTTTTTTTTAAATTACTAACAGCCAGTTTCACTAAAGTAATATAAGTGAAACATAATTCATTTCAGTTTCACCATTTGACTTAATTTTTAGTTAAATGGTCATGCTTTGTCATTTAAATAAAAATTAAATACGGCCATATTCGACTATGAGTACATTTTTCTATCAGCTGATTTGCAAGTAGCAGAAGATAAACATATTATGAAAAATGGAATTTTACGACGAAAGTGATATGGAATGCGAATTTTAAGTAAATATAATTAGAAATCGTCGCCTTCGTATAGTGAGGGAATGAATTCTTTTTTACATATTATGACGACGCCGATTTTCGATATAGATTTCGTTTGACCAAACAGTCTGCTTGGATGATATTCGAACAAATTAGGAACAAAATACAGCACAAAACTAAGAAGTAAGAAGTTTTTCACATCAGTTCGATATTTTAAATTTAGCCTCTTCGGTTGAGTTTATATGACAAATATCTTATTTGATGATAATTTTAATATTACAAGTGTTCGCTGAAGGGAAGTAAAATATAGTAATAAAACTAAGTGAGTCTGTGACCTCAGAATAAGGTAATATATAACAAATTTGATTGTAATCATTCACGATTTCGTCGAACAATGAATTTTGAACTTTTCGGCTTTTATCCTTGCATGTTGCAAGAGTATAAGATGTTCGGTTACACCCGAACTCAGACCTTCCTTCCTTGTTTCTTTTATTATTATTTGGGTTTATTCAGTTAGGTAATTTCAAGGTTATACCATTTATTGATACTGTCCCTACTTTTCGGATGTTAATTTTGACATACATTATACATTTCGTTATTACAGTTTTTATTTTACATTCAGTGTTTCTTTTTCAATTGTCACAAAGTTGCTATAATTGATAAATTTGTTTACTATGCAGAATCAAAGGAAAGTGTCTTGGTTAAGTTACCAGATATAAATTAATTAATTTGTTTATAAATGCAAATTTTAATAATTTTCGTGTGCAGCGACTATACTGTGTGAAAATTTATTTGGATAAATCAACCAAAAGGCATTCATACCATTTTTAATGAAGGAAACGGTACTTCAAAATGTATTGACATCCTTAACTCTTATAAACTAATATCTTGCAACCTAAGTACAATAGCTTTCATTAAGGGATCGTATCGAAAAAGCAGTCTACAAAATTTAAAATTACTGAATTAATGGTGGCATTCATATATTTTTTCAAAACATATTACTGGGATTTAATATAATATTTAGGAGCTGCTTATCTGCCCGATTTTGATTAAAACCAAAGACTGAACATTAGAATAGCATCCCTCGAATTTGGTGCTAAAATGGGTATTGGCAGATAGATCTATAGTTTCGAGATCTTTGCGTTTTAAGCTCAAATATTCACAAATATTTCACTTTACATCCATTAACAGTTCTAACATTATTTCATAAATAATATATTTATACTAAATGTATAATTACTTCTGCCAATTAGATGTTTAAATAAATTATAACGCAGGATAAACTAAGTTAGTTTTTCGAAACGGTTTACGAAAAACACTTAGCCAATTAAATAAAATTGACAATAATCTATTACTTTTGCATAAAATTGAAGGTTGATTTAGCTTAGTATGAATGATCGGACTTAGGTCAAATATGCACGGTTTGTTCGATAACTTATTGCTATTTAAAAGTGTTTTCATAATGCCACTCTCATAGAAATCTTCGTCTCTATTAGCAAGAAACTGGGACAGTCGATTTTCAATAGCTTCTCTTTAAGTGAATTTTCACCAGCAAAAACATTTGCCATAGACAATAACAGAAACAATCATTTGGTGCCAGGTTCAAGTCCAGGACTATAAGATGGGTGCATAAAAATCTCCCAATTAAGCCCCGGAATAGAGACAGCCAATTGTTGACAGTATAGGTCCGAATATTTAAGTTTGACGGTAGGTGAGCAACTCATAGTAGTCGCTTTACGTTGTTGTAAGTGATCCACAGTCCTATATAAACGGTTTTGTGCTTACATGATTATCGGACTCAACGATATTCGGTATCGATATTTTCAAGAATTGGCCTTCAAGAGTGTAATGCAGCTTTGACATAAAATTAAACTTAAAATTAAAACCAAAATGCATGTTTAACATTATTAAAATTTCGGTCGATTGGCTTGCGTTTTCGTCTTTATCAAATAAAACCTGTAAAATATGGCATGTTTTCACGTGCTGGTTTCTATCCTTTCTGAGCAATACTGAGTTAAGCAATGACGAAACTGTTTGAACGGTAAATTTTTAGTATGTGTTAGGTATATTATCTTTCTAACGCAAGCCGATCGCAAATTCGAATTCGAAAGAAATCTGTCGAAAAAATAATGGATCTATTTTTACTAAACCTTATGTTGCTAGCACCAAAAATTAATTTTTGTATTATATATCTACGGTTTCAGTGGTGAAGGTGTTAGAGGTCTTGCTACACAGGACTTTTAGCTTATTTTATTAACCCTAGCAAGATAACGCAATTTTATACCACTGAAAAACGATGCGTCGAATGACGTATTTTCTTTTGAAAGATTTTAAGAATGTCATTTATTATTATTTTGTTTTGTAATAAAATGTACAATTGTCCTCCAATGAATATTTTCCTTCAAAAATAGGTTATTATATCGGATGATCGGTATGTGAGTTTATCTATAACAGGGGTGACTAAACAATTTTACTTTCGACATTATCTTAATATATTAAATTTAGCTTCTCCGAAGTCACATATATAACATATGAAGATGTTTTTAATATAATTTTTGCTTACGGGAAGTAAAATATAACAATAAAACTAAGCGAGTTTATGACCTATAATATATTTTAATAAAATACCACATTTGATTGTTATCCATTCGTCGAATAATTAATGCTGAATTCTCAATTTTTTAAAAAATTGGTTTGGAATCCCGGTCAGTAAATCTTAATCAATATATCACAATCATTAATATCACATGCCAAAATATCCGATACAAGATATCCCATGGAAAAAATATCACTCTACAAAAAAATCATACTACAAAAAAATATCCCACAACACGAATATCCAAATACATATTCTATCCCCTGGACCCCGTTCGTGCTTCGCCCTTAAACCCTACCCGGGCTTCACCAATTTACGTGAATCTGGAACGCTTCACGTTTAATGGAGGATACGTTTAATTAAAGAAACAACAAACAAAATATATTTACAATAAATATCGTTATTAATATATTTTCAATAATTACATACTTTTATAATAAATATTAAGATCAATACTAATATTCAAGATTATGAGCTACCCAACGTAAATACTCTAACTGCTCGACATTATCCTAGGATTTAACAACATTTAGGAGACGACGATCGTGATTTTGGTATTTACGTTTCTTAGCTGGACGCTCCTCACGATTATTTCAATTCGAACTCCATTTACGCTTGCTCATCTCGAACATAGTGTTCGAAATTCTATAAATGCTCATATCTCTACGTAAGTATTTTGGATGCGAATATTGAACGCATAGTGCCACCCCTCTATCGCATTGTTTGATCGCTTTACTTGAACGACGGTTGACTTATAGTGATTTCATACTGCGATGTCTTATGTGCCAAGTTGGCGTTCGCCGCGACGAGTTTGCTTACCAATCAAAGTATTCTCCATATAAACCAAAAATTCACTCAACTCATCTTCATGATTTACAAAAAATTTTATTTTTATCATAGACTCGTAAACAGAAAGAACGTTAGAAACAGGACCGTACACTAAGGCATAAAACATCTTCATGTGCATGGCGTTATCACCACCACGTTGGTACGAAAGATGGAGTCCACAACTTCTTTTTACGAAGAATACACTGCGCATAATGAAATACGCATCCTTTATTAGAACAATCCGGAAATACCTTTTTAATAGCAGTCGAGGTTCTAATGTAATGCATTACTCTACCTTTAATCGATCCATGTATCGTATACTTGTATAACTGATAAAATATTATATATTAGGTACGGTCCGAAAAGTACCATCGGTATACCATCGATCACTTGAGCGTAACAGATTTAAATTTTGCTGAGTTGCAAAAATTCAAAATCTTTCCTTACATTTAACTTGTTGATCGCAAGAATCACAACATTAACACACTTCATCCTTCGCAGTATTCTTATATTCATTACCAATAACGAGTTGAGCGATTGTTGTCGGAGTGGCTGGAGCTACTATATATGTTATATCAACACGAATTCGACAAATGGTACGACTAACATTTGAACGGATAGTTAATTGTCTGGCGGTTGACTGTGACATATTACGAACAGTGTTTGATGGCTTGTTGGCATATTTGATGTCGAAGCCATGTCTCTTATATTATATTTGCAATAACCTTACTCGCTTGAACCATTGCCACATTTGGTAAATGATTTTGCTCAGTTCTCGATAATACAACACCTAAAAAACACATTTCACATAAAAAACATTCACATATAAATTTTAATGGTTGTTCGATCATAAAGATTATAATACAATATAAACATATAAACAAATCTAATATAACAATATCATAAAAACCATCATCTTCCATATTGCTAGTATAAACACGTGCTATGCATTTCTTTGTATTGTAATTAACAGATCGCCATGTGACTTTTTCGTCTGATTTGCGGTGTATATAAATCCCTCCAAATGAAGATTTTTACTTCCTTTCTGGTTGATAATAAATTCCAAAGGCATTTTTCAATATTATTCACTAAGATCTATATATCGATGGCTACTTAGTATTTATTATACAATAAAATAAAATATTTTTAGAGGTTTGACCGACGTGTACTGTTTACTTGCACCTCAGATATTGGGACTGCGTTATTGTACTTCAGACTATACTAATGTACATATATAGTAATGACATATATTAAGCCTAAATATTGAATGAATATAGCGATAATAGTCATTTAAAACAAATTATAAAGAGCGGAAAATATTTTAACACTATGTTAGATATGGGATTTGTTTATCTTGTGACCTTTTTGTTGGGATCTTTCGGTATTGGATATTTGTAATTGGAATATTTTGTAGCGCGTTAGTTTTTTTAGGGTATTTTTTATTTTGGGGTATTTTGGCTGGGCTTAAACTAACTGGGATATTTTCTTCTGGAATTTGCTGACCGACCACCAAAGTTTTGGCAAACCCTAAAGATATTAATTATATATAAAAATAATAATTAAATTTTTACAATTAAATTAAAAAAATGAAATTTTCATTTTTAATCCCAAACATTTACATTTTAAAAATTCTAATTTTTAATCCCAAATTTTTTAATTAAAATATTGCAACTCTATTAGCAACATAAAGATGTTTACTGTTATATGTATATCTATCTATTCATTTTGTGAATTAACTTTCTAAAGAAATTTTTTTTGTAATTTATGTACAGTCAGTTAACAACAGACCATAAAATAAATATAGAAGTATACAGATTTCTCGTATTCTACTCGTATACTGTCTAGTATACCAAAATAAAATTTCATTTGGTTCCCTTTTGAACAAGGTTTTAGGTACAATGAACTCCCGATAAATGGCACAAGAATTGAATTATTAAAAAATTTGTTTTGGCCATATTAGGGTATATTTATGTATATTGGTAAAGGAAAGTGAATTATTTGATTGCTAATATTCATAAATATAATATATAATATTAAGCATTCGTTTGTTTTTGAATTTAGGGCTACAATAAATATGCAAAGTATCAAAAAAGGAAGTGAGGTACGGTGCTAGACTGAAGACAGCATACAAAGTGGATTCTACACTACGTCCTTGACTCGGGTCTGGCTCCCAGTGGAAATCGAGGAGATTATAAGCTTTGTTATCCTTCGCTTCCCACCCAGTATTGGCGGGATATTAGGCTCGAAATAACAGAGGAACCTTATCGACCAGCGCTGAGGCTGTTAATTTCGGAGTCTCTCAATTCTCTCAAGAGGTCCAAAAGGGTCAGAAGCTATGGCTTCAAGAGGGTGGCCCTAAGGATCTTTCTTATGGCGATGGCCCTCAGCGTCACAGTGCGGTAGAGAATAAAAGGGAAGATCAAATCATGAAAACTCGGTTCTAACATACGCAGTAAGTAATGAAGGAAGTCCTCAAACGTCGAATCCGCCCAAGGGAAAGCCCTACTCTTCACTGATGCGATGGAAGAGTGTTTGGAGGAGTGTGCAAGTCTTCAGCACTGCGTTTAAAACTTTCCTGGAACGTTTCTGTCCAATTACATCACAGAGAGGTACAGGGAAATCCTTCTGATGGACATTGGAACTTTCGGAAATTAGGGCATCTAGTACAAGGTCCGGAAGAGTCTGACAATTGACAACTGCGTGTTATACAAAACAGGATTCGCCATTCAAAAGTCCCAAATGAGGAAGGCCAAGAGGTCTTCATATAAAGCCGTCTGGCTGCCGGGTAATCGATATTTTGTATCTCTCTACTGCCACAGCGGAGCTATTAGTGAAGGATGGCATCTCTTACTAAAAGTAGTTCTTGGGCTATATGAGACCAGAGTCAAAGCAAAAATTCTATAGAACATGTTGTTCTCGCCTGCTAATAGTGTAAAAGGTGAGGTTTTTGTCTTACTAGCTGCAGAATGGAGACGGGTAGGAGCTCCACTGGCTTCTTACATTTCACCGCTGAATAGTTGGGCCTCAGGCGAGCTCGGCAAGCGCTGGTCAGATACAATAAACTCTGAAATCGCAAGATCTTTCTGGCCCAGGGTAAATCGCAAGCTCGAACGGGAATCATGCGGTAAGATTTAAAACTTTACCAGATGCTAGTTAGATAAGCTGCTTGGAAATGGATGAAATATAATTATCCTAATAAAGATGATAGTAATAAAGTAACTAAGCAAATTTGTGACATGCTTAAGACGCTTTGTCATGGGTTGATATCCGAATACGGAATTTGTTTTTGTGTCTGGCTTCACAAAGAACTGTATTTAGCTGTCTATGTGTGATCGCCGCTCTCTTGAGGGATCAGCTAACTGCTTGAATACTTTTGCTATAAGTTACCTAAAAGATAAATAAATTTTATCAATCCAAACATATCTTCTAATCAACTGTTTGTACTGAGTTTTTAGTATTTTTTTTCTTAAAAACTCTTGATCGTGTCAAACTCTTAAACTTCAAAATGAGGACTTGCAGCAGCTCTCTTTGACGGTTTAACATACATTCATGCTTTCTTAAAAGCGATATTAAGAGATCTATACGATTCCAAATAAGTCTAAAAAGATATAAAATAAAATAAAGGTAAGACGAGAGCATTTGTACCAATGATTTTTCGCCTTCTCAGCTAGTTAAATTTTTTACATTTCACCATTTATTCATAAATTAATTTGAAATGCAGAAATTGTAAACAAAACTGATAGTAGTATTATAATTTATAAATTTCAATACATCAAAAAGAGTAAACTTACGGACGAAACTTGACTGCAGACCGGACTTAGCTTATATTATATTAATCATTGCACGAGCTCACAAACTTATTATCAGATCTAGTTTATTATATTGGTCTTCATACCAATCTCTTTCCACTCAATATTTTTGTCTTATAACACACGTTTTAAAAGTACCTACATTATCCACTATATGTAGGAAAGCATATATATGTAAAGTAGTATAACAACATAATTTAAATTCATTTATGTATTGGTACATTTCACGTTCTTTCACATATGTATGTATTGTATATATGCATGTTTATACATATATTAATGTGCTGTGGTTAAAGTTGAATTTTACTTACTATTTCAAAAAGTTAAGTAAAACTTAGATTAGTTTATAAATACTGCAGCTTAGAAAGATAAATACATACATACGTACCCATGCATATATTTGATTTACTACAGAATCGAAAAAATAAAATCGTGCCCAAAACTATTTGAAAAATTCAAATTAAAATTTTTCTGTGCATGATTTGTGCATATTCATACATATTAAGGCATTGAAGTTAGACACTAACTATAACAAATGAATTACTTTGGAATTGAATTTTACCATATTCAATGTATTTTTAAATTATAAAATGTTTACTTTACAGTTACTGAATGGAGAGATAACTAATAATTAAACAGCTTACCTCTCATTCACGTTTTAAGCAAAATTATATTCAAATTCAAATGCGTGTTCACATAATACATGTACGTGCATATGTATGTATATTACAAGGGACAAATTGTAAAGTAAATATTATAGTCCAATATAATGGCGCATCTTATTGAATTGTGTGCCAAAATTTTTGTGTATAAGTTGTTTCAATAAATCAGGTTTTGTCTCGCTCTTTTTGTTATTATATTGTTTATTTAATAAAGACAGTATATAAGGAAACTAGAAGATTATTTAAATCATTAAATAAAAAGAACTTGACGAATAACAACTTATCGCTGTGAAAATCATGAAACTCGTAAGTTTACTTTTTGGCAGAATAAATCGGGCATGTTAGAGTGTGTATCTCTTATGAAATTTGTGCGTTTATGATAAAAGTTTAATACAAAAATAGAAAAAGTGCAAATTTTGAAATTAAAAATAAATAAAAATATCTGTGTTTCTAAATAAACATTTTATTATTCTAAAAAGCTAAAATTAATTTTCCATAATCTGCAGGTTATTTTATTATATTTTATTGTGTGTACCGCTGCGGATTTCAAACACCCTTCGGATCGAAATTCAGAGTTATTTAAATATAACCCAAGCGATGTTTACACATTACCGGAAGATATAGATGATGAAAAGCCAGCTGTTATATTTGAAGGGAATGTTATGAGAGCAAAAGTGGAGAAACTACAAAATTTCAACGGAAATAAAAAATTTAAATTAGAGTAAGTATTAAAATTTTTTTGTGAACAATCCTGACATCACTACTAAGACAATTAATTTGACTGTTTCAACGTCATCAGTATTTTTCTTTCAATAGTTTATTACAACCAATCCTCATGTTGTAGAATCTGACTCATTACTGCTTCGGAATATTCTGATACAATACTCTTATCATCTATTTCACATGTTTAGGTAGGCATGCTTACCACATGATATTTGCTTTCAATATTCGAATACTTAGTTTTAGATATTTTTTCATAAGCGTACTACATAAGTAACGGTAACGTTGGGCATAGCTATTTAAGAATATGATCTATATTTATAACATCACGAACTAAAAACGGTTAATAAATATGCAAAAAAATATAAAAGTTTTATTGATTTACTTTTCTTAATGTCTCTCATTTCAGCGTTTATTATTTAGATATAATGCTAAATCATCTATAACAATAATTTCTGTAGCAAAAACTCTTTTGTGGTAGTTAGAATTGACTACGATATATCTTTTACACACTTGTTGAAGGTGACTTATTATTAATACGAAAAGATTTACTAATATATGCACGCGGATTACTTTCCCGTTTGGTAGGTTATGCTCACACAATATCTGAATTACCCAGTAGTAAAATATATGATGGCGGCTTCAAAACTGACAGTTTTTCTTCAGACAGTTCTTAATTTCATTAAATGCTTACAATTTGCTAAGCATATATTATCGATATTTTTTATTGTTCAGTTCTCCGAGAATCCTAATTTGACTTATGCCTATGTTTAAACAAAATTATTAGTGAAAATATTTATATTATCTCAACGCTTTATTTACATTTGAAAAAAAATTATGGAAATAACAAAATCGTGATTAAAACGTAAAAACATGAAAACCAATACTTAAGAAATAAATGAATTTGGCCACGCATATAATATTTTAATCGAAATCTACATGCATACATAATGAAACTGAAAGATGTATAAGTATATCATTTTCCTCCTAAGTAGCTTAATTTATTGGTTTCAATAATTGAAATAGTATATACAAAATATATTACAAAACTACGTAATATGTTTGTAATTACTAAAAATTTAGAGTTTTCTACTTTTTGTTGTGTACAGTGTTGTGTTGGTTTGTTTCTTCAAATTTGTTCCTATATAGAAGAATACGTAATGTTGCCCTCAACCAATATATGTATGGGTGTTTACTAACTCACATATAAAACAGTACAGTAAATACAGCTAACATTTTTCTAATTAGCATATTTTGCTAGTCATTCTCAGTTATTTTATAAACAGTATACGGATATCAAATATATTTTACATATTTACATAATTTAGTAGATTAGTGTAGAATTAATGTGCTAGCAGAGTATTAGGAAGTCGGAATTTTAAAATGTTAGTTCAAGTTACTGTGTTTTGGCGACTGATAGAATTTTAGCAATGTTGAGGTTTAAAATGTTTAATTATGAAAGCGACAAAACCAGTGAAAATCTAGCCGCATCATACCAAAAAATGTTGGTCTCCATAGCAAATAATCATCGAAATTCCTGTTAATTACCTAAAAAAATTTCTGGTATTTTCATTTCTAATTAACTATTTTTGGTTACAAAAATAAGCAACAAAATATGTTTGACCAATTGATGATCACTTTCTCCGAATCGCTTTGAATCAAATGTTGTGAATGGAGTAAAAAAAATATTTCCAGAAATTGGTTTCTTTCAGAAGCATAATTTTTTAATTAACACCAAATTTTATTATTATATGTACTCTACATTTTTTTATTACAATTTTAGTTTAAAGACTCAAAATGGTATTGAGCTTACCAGTGTTGGAAAATTAAAAGACGATAAAACATTTGTTGTGAGTGGGTCATATTCTTTTACTGGAGCTGATGGTAAACGCTACAAAACTCGCTATACTGCTGATGAGTTTGGATATCACCCTATTACAGAGTTAGATCTGGATATTCCAGAGTGAGTATAATTAAATTTATCCAATTATTTCAAAAAAGTTAATTTAAGAGAAAACATAAGTTTTTATAACTACAACACACGGCACATATATATATGAGTGGGTCATTTAATATGAATATCTAAGAACGGCTATCCAAGTATGAGCTCTTAATTTTAACGGGAAGGTCCTCCGCTTTAAAGTTTTCTATTTTTTTCTTATTATCAGATAGAAAAATTCGTGCTTCTCCAGGAAATGGAATGCTCTACAAAACGGTGTCTTACGATTTTTCGTAAACTTAACCGTTTAAAATATTATATAATAACGGTTAAAGTTTGACGGTTTTAAGAAAAATTAGTTTCTTGTAAATTTCCTACAAAACTATGAACTTTCCGATTTATAATGATTTTTTTATTGAGTTAAATTAGAATAAATTAACTTGTTGGAAAAATATTTCATCAAATATTTTGTAAGCATTAAGTAGGCGCTTATTATTTATTTGTGTTAAATAAATACCGTAACATAATACCGATTCACACGATTCGTTTATGCTAAATGTTCATTTTTATAAGTGTGTACATTAATATTTTTATAATGATAGACTTGTATAACTTGTGATGTGGAATCACCGAAAACAAAAAATAAATAAATATACTCGAATGCGTTATAGCTCTCACGGCGTGAATTTGAGCTTTTCTGAAATACATTAAGTATCTAATCAACAAGTACAATATTTAAAGGATATCATTAAGAATGACATTATAGACCGTAGTAAGCATGTATTTATTGTATTGAGCATCATCCTTCTTTTCGTCAATTATGATATGTCCGAAGATGTTCCATTAATATCTGCAGCTATTGGAGGCTTTGCATCAACTACTTAACTTTATTCCATTTTGTGTCGCTTGACTTTGAGTAACCTAAGAGATAAAAGAACAAATATTCTTTAAATGATGCAGTTTTGGCCCCAAATCATAGAATTGAACATTTACATAATATTTTCGCTGGAATCCAGCTTTTCGTTAAACAGGTGCAGACTGTAGAGTGAGACATATTTTGATGACAGGAATATTTATCAATCAGAACTCCAAAAAAAATTTTCAACCGTTAATATCTTTTAGACGGTTAGGTTTACGAAAAAGCAGTAAGAGATCGTTTTGTAAAACATTTCCATTTCCTAGAAAAATTATGAAACGAGATATTTTATCAAGTAGTTGGAAGCGAGACATGTAATATTTTATCTGATGATAAGAAAAATTATAAAACTGTAAGGCGAACCTTCCCGTTACCATTAAGAGCTCATACTTGGAGAGATTTTCTTAGAGGTGTCTAAGAACCTATCTTCCACAATGCCAAGCGAAAATCATTCTTTTGACCCCCTTAATATATATATACTGTAGTTATTATACTTTTAAGGATTTCTCTAAATTGTCTTATTATTCCAACGTTGGTGCGCCTTTAAATTTTGTAAATATTGACGAACCAGATTAACTTAACTAACTTATTAAATAACGTTATTGTACCTTTATATTATCGCGTTATAAGACTAAACAGTTTTTATTTTTTAAGTCTGCTAATTATACATTCAATTCATAATCTTTAGTCCCCAACCCATAGCTGACGCAGCTACAAATCTGAATAAATTCGATAGTTCAAATAAAGATTTGTTAGGAGGACTTAAAAACAGATTTCAATTTCTAAACCAAAATCTTAATTTGGATATAAGTGGAGGTGCACAAAGCGGTGACGACTACAGACGTTCTGCAACGAATAATAACGGCTATAATTATGAAGCTCCGATGTAAGTTCAAAAGTATTATAAAAAAATATATATAACTTGTCTCATTTTAGACAACAATTTGAGACTGCGCCTTCCATACCATCACGCGAATACTTACCGGTGAAGTAATAATTAAAGAAAGAAAAATAAAACTTTAACTGATTTATAATATATGTATACAATAGTAGCTGGAATTCAATAAAATATAAACATATAATAAACTAAATTAGCATACGCCATGTATGTCATTAAAACCATTCAGATGGAATGTCACTATTTTTTCTATCTGAATAAGAAGTAATAATAATTTTACCCACCGACTAGTAAACCTTTTAATAAAAATTTACTAATTTTGTTTGTGATTCAACAAGGTAGTATGATAGTATAATACTTGCGTTAAGAATACGATTTTATAATGAACATTTACAGTAATCCAGTAAAAGTGTAAAGCATATAATATCAATGCAGAATCTACATTGACGATTAGGTCATATCCACCACTCTAAAAAATAATGATGTTTTTGAACATAAATCATAAATAAATCATATCTCTCTTTTAAGGTAACAGTATACAATTACCTATGCATAAAATATCACCTTTTAAGAAAAACTACGAAATTCGGAAACACCAAGGCAATGGCGTGGATACCATTCCTTAGTGCTATTACTTTTATACTATGGGGATTAAACCAAATTTTATTTGTTTAATTCTGTAAATATATTTAAAAGAAATTGATTTTAATGTTTTAGTAGGCTAGGTTAGTCTAGTTGGCTTATACAAATTATTGTAACGGATTTCTCGATAAATCGTCTACCTTGAGACTCTCTATAGAGTTCGATCACTGGATTGTTAAATAAAAGCCCTAATTTAATGGCTATACACTATGCTTTTTTTTAACATTTTTTTTTTCGATCCCATGGTGAAATTTTGTTGGAAATACCAAAAAAAAAATTCTCTGAAAGTTTGAGCTCTTAATATTAATATTAAGTACTAGACCAAGGCCTGTAAAGATTTTCCATCTTAAATACTTCTTTTTAATTTTATAACTCAGTGGCATTTGATGGAAATATCTCACCCGTCATTAGGTATTCCTCAGAATTGAACGTTCTACAAAAGTCTCCATTGCGGTAAAGTTATAACTTGCACCTGCAGGGTAGTACGGGCCCCAAACCTAATTTTTCCATGAAATTCGCGATCTCGTAAATAACACTAGCTACGAAAAATTGTTAATAACAAACTTGTAGGAAATTTAATTTCCTACAAAAAAGTCTTTCGCACTAAATCGATAATATTAATACTCTTTGATATACAGAGATTTTAAGTTGAAGTTTTACGGAATTTTTAAGTTAAATTGTTACATTCTGTAGCTAGTGTTGTTTACAACAGTACATAATATTAATATTAAGAGCTCAAACTTTCAGGGATTTTTTTTTTTGGTTTTTCCAACAAAAAAAAAATAGTTAAAAAAAAAGCACCTTACTATACACTTACTTTTATTTCTAATTTTAACAACTTCACGTTTTATTACTCATTATGCGAACTTACAACTTCTTACTTATATTTTAATTGGTCTTTACACGGCACTCTAACTATTTAGAACTGTGTGTGGTGCACAATCGGGCAGCCCATATATAGTAGATCGTTAGCAAAGCTTTGCCACTCGAACATTCTGGTTTTTTTTCCCGTCTGGTTAGTTTTGGCAATTTATGGTCGATTCGATTTTTTTTTTCGCATCCGTGTTTGTCACAATATACATACTATATATTATATTACAAAACTTCGATTTAAATACATATATTCTTCCAAACGTATGCTGACTGAGTAGAAAGAGTGAATAGGTAAGTATAGCGGTAGCTTTAAGGATTATTCAACAAATGTATTGGTGATTTAAATCAGGAGTGCTAACATCGCAACTAACTTAGCTTTCTTTGGCTTGCAAAAACATCTCTTTACAACAAATACAGCATTTGGAGAGCAATACGCAAAATGAGCGTGGCAAATAAGTTGACTTAGTTAGTAATAGTATTATAAATAAGTAGAAATATAGTTTCGGACTGTCGTTGATTCAGTTTTTTTAATGAAAAATGTATAATTAGCTTTTTAGTTACGACTGTATAAATTTGAGACTCGACCGTTAAAAACTCCGTCCGCAATAAATTTATAATCTTCAATATCCGCGTTTCGAACGCGCGATTGTTTGTAGTCTCTTGATCCCGCTCGCTGCGCTAGCCGCAAACGTGACAGACAAATTTTCAAAAATTTGTCAAAATTACAATTTTGTACGGGCCACTCCGAAATTTTTAAATTAGTAACTAAAAAGCCTAATATACATTTTTCATTAAAGAAACTGAATAAAAATAGTTCCAAAATTAAAAAAAAAATAATTTGTTTATAAAAATTTACCTTTGTAAAAAAAAAAATTCGAAAAAATTCAACAAATATCTTATTGAAAAGCTGAGAAAAATCGTAAACAAAAGGCCGTCTAGTTATTTTCATTATGAAATAGTTTTCTTCGTATATGCAAATGTTTAAAGGTACATTTTTCAAACGTTGAAATTTTGAAAATTCATAACTCCAAAATTTTTCATATTGAGTTGAAATGACCCATATATTTAAAGCTAAAAATCTAACTGAAGCTACAAAAGTTGGAACATCTACACACCATATAGGAAGGGTAGTTTTTAGCAAAAAGTTTTAGGAAACCTTCGCGTGACTGAAGCACTAATAAAGTGTGAGTGTACTAATAGCACCAAAGAAATTAATGTATTACTCGAATCGGAGTTGCTATCATCAGCCGAACGGATATGACATTCTAAACTACATGTCATCAACATATCCTTGGATACTCTATTACCGATGCTCGATGGAAGTTAGTGCTTTACAGCTTCACATTCCTAAGAGCTAGCTATCCTCTTGGCCTTTAAACTTCAATAACCACTTTAATGTTGCATTATCAGTATCATATCGAACTTTGTGGATATACTTGTGAAAATGCTAGATGCCCTCACCAACACTAGTTCCTTTCGTCCGACTCTGGTAGGCAAATAACTTTTTCTTGTATTTAACAATACGGCGAAAAATTATATTACCCCTGTCAAAAGCTTCCAAAAGGAATATTACAACGACCCGCATTAAGTCGACGCCACTTATGACTGAAGATATGATAGCTCATCTACCCTACCTTTCTTTTCCAGTTTATCTTATGTGGAGAGATATGGAATGGCTTTTCGCTTTACACACTTTTCCAGATATTTTTTTTACCAAAGGCTTAAACCATTTGAGAATTTAGCTTCGTATAAGTTAAAAAGCTTTTGTTTTATTTCTGACAAAGTCATATAAAATAATAAGCCCAATTATTACTCATCTCTTTGTCGATCATATCAAAGTTTTTCGTTTCGGACATATAATAAATGAAACGGATTGATTCATGGTGAAAGGGATTATACAAAACGGCGATTTATTGTACCGAATATATAAACATGTTTTAGTTAAAGGAAACCTTCAGAAGATACCGTTGTTTTGCGTACGGCATGCACGATTCATTCTATTCGTAAGTTTTTATCTTATACGGAATTGCAAAGTAGGACGTTTACATCCTTACCCATAATTCCGTCACATATTGTTTATAATTATAGTTGCCAGATCGCCGTTAGAATAGATTTGAAAATGAGGTATGTACCGCGACCTAAGGTCTATTATGCCTTCAAAATATTCAATCGTATAAGAGTAACCTATCGTACAGATAGCTGGAAATGGTTTTCAACAAATAGAGAGTTTTTTTTTAAGTTCCAGGGCCGAATTAAAGGCATTTTGGACACTAAGTGAAACTATTACGCAGTATACTTTAAAGCCATGCATCTAGCCGCAAACGCGCTTCTTATATAGCTTTGTTTGCGACGTCAGTTAATTTTCTGATTGCGTCAATAGGTGGCCTGTGTCTTCGGAATCCATGTTAATGACAATACATGTAATTCTTTTTCGAAATGTCGTTCCAGATGCCCACATATAATGCACACATTGGTTGGAACGATCTCCTCAGCTGATTTATTTTCTAGTATTAATTTTGTGGGATGCCTGAGATTTTTGCCCGTGTGTAATAAATATGTCTTGGTTTTGCAATTTGTCTCCGACTGCTGACTAATTATTGCCACGCCCCCTTTCTGTTCAAACACTGTCCTCCTAAGCAGCTCTTGAGCTGGTTTACATTGATTTAGGTTTAGCTGTAGAACTCTTATATTTTGTTATCTTGGTAGAGAGAGCATTTTATGCTACCTATTGGACCTCCTTTCCAATGTGGAAACATCACTGGCTTCTAACATCTGGTTTGCTACATACTCTCACTAGAGAGCCATATTCAAAGTGCTTGAAAATTTTTTAAGGTACGGCTTTTCCTAGATTCAGCATACAACCCTAGCGATTTTATTTAGTGCGCCTCTTGGAGTGACCGTGCCTGCAGAGCACGGGTACTTAATATAACAGTTTATGTGCCCACGTACAAGTACAGGGTGGTTCACGAATCGTGCTATAAAAACTAACCGTAATAACATTTTTTTTTTATCAATACATTACATCTATTTTTTTTTTATTGTATAGCAAATTTTATTTTACTTTATATAATTAATTATTTTCAAAAAGTTTAGACCTTAAATGTTGTCCATGCTTAGCCAAGCATATGCGATATCCAATTATTCATTGCGGCCTGAAAGATTGAAGTTGGGATTGCCTCAATTATCATTTTAATGGACTGATTCCATTTAGTAAGATTCCTGGTTTTGTTTTGCACACCTCTTGCTTGACATAACCCCATAAAAAAAATGTGGTGCAGTCAGGTCAGGTGACCTTGGACCTTTTCAAATTATTGTTGGAGCTGCCCAATAACCGGTCTGGATATTTGTGCAGTTGCTTTATCTGGAACCAAACGCTATTGAAAGGCATACGTCTCCGGTGCGGTTCCGGGTAAAAAGTCTCATTGACAGTTACTGTCACACCGTTTTCTTCAAAGAAGTATGGCTCGACAATACCCCTTCATAAAACTGCGCCCCACACAGTGACTCGTTCTGGGTGAAGTTCCGTCTAATGGATTATTTCTGCATTTGATTCACTCCATATATGGCAATTTTGCTTGTTTACATTTCCATTAAATTACATAAGCAGGCAATTTATCAAGTTATTGTCTTCTTTAGCCATTTAAATAATTTTTTTTTGCAAAATTGCCGGCGGATAGACAAATCTAGAGGGTCTAACCGACTTGTTATTTGAA